CACTTCCGCACTATCCGAACTGTAGGAATTCTGGAGGACGGGATTTCCAACAAATCGTAGAACACCGTGCGTTGGCGAAATGACTTTCGGCCGCTAAAAAGCCCCATCTATCATCGTTCGTTTGCTTATGTTGCACCTGATATAATAATTTAGGGAGACACTAGAACAATTATCGCATGTATAAAGAGTGGGAGACTCAATCACTTCTTCGGAAGTTGAGCACACTGTTCAGAACAGGAGTGCGGCACACCTGCGGTGCGACTTGCCTTCTTACCTTTGTCCAGCGTAACCTGCTCGACTAGTGCGTTTGCTGTTGGGGAAATAATCATCAACTCCTATTTGTGCGCGTTTATAACATGAACACTGTTCCGTATCAATTTCCGAAAAACTCGTACAATCAAATGTTTCCAGAAAAGTCTGGGGGAAAAGATATGTTAATTATTGATGATCACCAGCTACTCAAATTTTAGGAAAATACCAATTTGGCACAATACGCGAAGTTGTAATTGCATGGCATGTTTTCCCACTACTATACCCACTACTTCTCCATGAAGCAGCCCTTGTTTCGTTGGGAAACGGAAAATCATGTTCCAAACTCTTCTTCCACATCATGCGAATTTTCTGGATAAACTGTTAGGCACCACATTAATCATCATCCTGGTCTGCAGTGCAGACATGCCTAGCCGACACAAGTGGTATGGCTGATGCGCGACAGTGCAAGAACTTGGCAATGCACGTGGATGACAATCAAAGACACGATGCCAGAAACTGTTTAGATAACCTCTCATGTTTGATCAATAGCTTTCTTATGAATTAGCTCAATTAGCTGAATCAGATCGCGCATGGACTCTCACACGACGGACGTAACTCAAGTATCGAGCTGTAACTGGTTTCTGGTTCATAAAAATGATTATGAGGCTTAAAGATACCCACACGCTACATTTGAAACAATAGTAGAGATAGCCATTCCATTAGGCTCACCGGTCGGTTTACTGCTTAACATAGAAATGAGGCATGCTTCTTCGATGCTTTTGAGTATCATTACAATAAGAATCTTTATCAAGAAAATCCTCCTATTTTATAAACCGCTAACTTGGTGTGGGTTTGTATGTATGTTGGTATGTCGGTATGATGTATGTACAGTCGATATCCGAAAGTTGGGGTAGGCGTGTCACCGGAAGTGACGTGCACTTGATAGAAGTTGCGTGGATAAGCTGTTGCCAGCATGCTTTGCTGATATCCAGCGATGTATGTTGGAAGCAGCTTATCCACATAGCTTCTATCAAGTGCACGTCACTTCCGGTGACACGCCTACCCCAACTCTCGGATATCGAGTATATGTTGTATTCAATGATTCGCAAACTACTCCGGCCCACACATCAAGGGCCAATTCGCCAACGCAAGTGCGAAACACCCACTTTATTTCTGCGTTAAGTTGTCCTTTTTTGAATGCACCACTCATTCTACTCCATTCAGGATCGTTGGTCGCGGGGATGGGGCGTGTACCGAGATGTACTGTGTTAAAATCATAATTCCAATTGGTCCATCCTGCATCGACTGGTTCCCCATCAAGTAGCGCACACATCAGGATGCGGAGCTAAACTGGTAAAATACCAATTGCGTACTACTCTGATTGTTTTCCGCTGTCATTGTGTTGAAGTTTGGCGGCTCAATCTTCTCTCCAGATTCGTCTCGTTTTGGTCGAAGTTTGTCGAGCGATTGGAAATCGGGCAGTTCTCGTACGCAAGATATCCTAGAACTCAGTTTGAGAGGTAAAATGGTTCTGGACTTCATGTACTTCCCTCTATCATTACCTCGATGCCGACCGTTGCATAAGCGGTTCCACTTCTTCAATTACTGTCTGTACGGGTCTACCAGCGAGCATTGCATCACGTTGGCGGTTTTTGAGTTCCTGGTCAAGGACAGTTATTAATGTTGTGAGCTTTGTTATCTGCTTAGGATATCAAATGTCGCGAAGTCTTGTCTACCTGTCGCTTTGCCACATGCACCTTCTCTCGATTTTTATCTGCTCCGCAAGAGATAATGGCACTGCTTACAATGAATAAAACATAGATCCACAAATCTGAAAACTAAAAGATGTAGCATTTAATTTCTATATTCTGCACTTTGGCGCAATTGGGAATGCTTCATGTGTGATGAGCTTAGGACATTTGTATTTGTGAAGAGCAATTTCCTTCTTTGTGAACCTCGGCACTGATGTTTGTTTTAATGTACATATTGCTTGTGTGTGTCGTAAAGGTTTTCGGGCGGAATGTTACTTCCGCCGGACGTTTCGATCTGATCGTCTCCTTCAGGCCGGTGAGACTTTGCGAATCGAATGATTCGCAAACTGACTCCGGCCCCACCATCAGAGGGCCAATTCAGCAACGCAAGTGCGAAACAGCGCCACTTTATTTCACTTATAGTTATAACATGAACACTGTTCCGTATCAATTTCCGAAAAACTCGTACAATCAAATGTTTCCAGAAAAGTCTGGGGGAAATATATGTTAATTATTGATGATCACCAGCTACTCAAATTTTAGGAAAATACCAATTTGGCACAATACGCGAAGTTGTAATTGCATGGCATGTTTTCCCACTACTATACACGCTATGTACTTCTCCATGAAGCAGCCCTCGTTTCGTTGGAAACGGAAAATCATGTCCCAAACTCTTCTTCTTCCACATATTATGCGAATTTTCTGGATAAACTGTTAGGCACCACATTAATCATCATCCTGGTCTGCAGTGCAGACACAAGTGGTATGGCTGATGCGCGACAGTGCAAGAACTTGGCAATGCACGTGGATGACAATCAAAGACACGATGCCAGAAACTGTTTAGATAACCTCTCATGTTTGATCAATAGCTTTCTTATGAATTAGCTCAATTAGCTGAATTCAGATCGCGCATGGACTCTCACACGACGGACGTAACTCAAGTATCGAGCTGTAACTGGTTTCTGGTTCATAAAAATGATTATGAGGCTTAAAGATACCCACACGCTACATTTGAAACAATAGTAGAGATAGCCATTCCATTAGGCTCACCGGTCGGTTTACTGCTTAACATAGAAATGAGGCATGCTTCTTCGATGCTTTTGAGTATCATTACAATAAGAATCTTTATCAAGAAATCCTCCTATTTTATAAACCGCTAACTTGGTGTGGGTTTGTATGTATACACGGATCCGTAAGTTGGGGTACGGCGGTCAACCGCGGAAGTGAGTGTACTGTGATTAGAATCAATCGTGATAAGGGCCCTTCCCATCATACTCGCGGATATGGAAAGCATGGTGTGCAGCGCTTATCTGACGCAACTATTTATCCAAGTCCACGTCATTCTCGATTGACACGCCTACCCCAATCTTTCGGATCTTCGACTGTATTGTGGTAATCCTTGGTATGACTGTTTCAGGTACAGTCGATATCCGAAAGTTGGGGTAGGTGTGTCACCGGAAGTGACGTGCACTTGATAGAAGTTGCGTGGATAAGCTGTTGCCAGCATGCTTTGCTGATATCCAGCGATGTATGTTGGAAGCAGCTTATCCACATAGCTTCTATCAAGTGCACGTCACTTCCGGTGACACGCCTACCCCAACTCACCGGATATCGAGTATATGTATGTCTGTCCGTCCGCAAAATGAAGTGAGTGTAAGGTAGCTAGTGAACTAAACAAGCCGCTAACAAATCTGAGCAGCCGACTTGAGATATCAATGTTTCTGTATAGGATAATTGTGATAACACTCCTAACGCTATATAAACACCTACTAGCACACTTCCGGTCATTCCACATGGTGCTGCAGAGGCAGCTGGAGGGCAGTGGAAGGTGAAGGGAGGATGGGGAGGGGAGGTGGAAAATCAACCGTCATGGCATGGTTATGGCGATGCTTTTCCACCCTTTTCGTCCCATACGCGTCACCTCCGCAAGGTGGTGGTGTCACAAATGGAAGAGACCATAGCGGAAGACGTAAAGCTTACGGAGGGAAGGAAGGTCCCGGCGGTTGGCGGGGGACCAATCTTGTGCGGGCTAGGCCCACCGGCCAAGAGATCGGGAGATCAACTCTTCCGGCGCGCATTGCTCTTTGGCTTCTACGATCCAACCACCACAAATTCTTTTTGAGCGTATGTCCATGGAAAGAGGGAAGGGTAGCGCTGATGTGAGAAGACGCAATAAAAATTAGCCCCTTCTCACGTCTTCTTCCCTCTCAGACCTGGAGCGGAGCCTTCAGAGCCATGGACGGAGTATTGGCTCTGCCCCAACCCCATTGAGCCCGCCCACCGTGCTACGTGAATTACAAACTCCTACTCACAACCCATAGAACATCAGGGACGGTAGTAAACCTCCCTCAATTCAGAGTTAACGTGTTGAGATTAGCTCAAACAAAAGTCATGGTTAGGTAACAGGTCTGAAGCGCCTCCCAACACATTAACTCTTGATTAGCTTATAGCTAGAAAAATCGACTTTAAAGGAAGCGATTACGCAAAGGAATTTTCCCATCAGGGAAGACCCTGCGTCACACGGAGCAATTACTTGGCCGCCAAGGAAGAGATGTGTGGCCCTCCCACGGCGGAAGGTGCCGCGGTTGCTGAGCAGGACCCGTGCGACGCCCCGCCCTATGCGACGTGACGCCCACTAGTTCTGTTGATGATCTGGATGGGCTGTTTGCTGTTGGCTTTTCATTTTGGATGATCATTCACCTTCTAGCGGCTGTATCTTCCAACTTGCCCACGTATTGCCTTATCAATCAGTACACTATGCTTGTTGGCAAGATGGCGGCTATCGGGGTTAACACGTCTGAACAACGTCGTTCTTCACCGTCGCTAAGACCGACGTCATAGTCGGCGACGGACCAAGCGATGGAGCGATCGCGATCGCTCCATCGCTTGTCCGTCGCTTGCCAATCGCTCTCGGTCGAGCGATTGGCAAGCGATTGCGCAATGTGCACAAGCGACGGGCGATTGGCCCCGCCCCCAGTCAATGCAGTCGGCTGCGGTATCGATCGAGCAGAGCCATTGCCCGTCGCTTGTGCACTTTGCAAGCGATTGCGCAATCGCTTGCCAATCGCTCGACCAAGAGCGATTGGCAAGCGACGGACAAGCGATGGAGCGATCGCGATCGCTCCATCGCTTGGTCCGTCGCCGACTATGACGTCGGTCCTAATCGCTGGTCGAAAACGAAAGGCCAGAAAAGAGTGTTCATGCTCATTTTTGACGAATTTCTTTGCTTTTTTCTCGCCATTTGGTTGTATTTACTGAGACGCTTCCTTTAATTACGAATTAGAGAGATAACCTGTAAAGCTAATTCGGAATTAAGCAGAGAAAAAAAGGAGCACGTGGTTGAGGAGACGCAGACGCCACGTTGACCCTCGAGTAAAAAGTACTCCGAAGGACTTTTTTGTTGGAGGGTTAACGTGGCAAACGTGGCATCTGCGTCTCCCCATTCCCACGGTCTTTTTTTCTCTGACCAGCTCCACTAAGTAGGAATTAAAAATGCAGCTGCAATCGCATAATCCACAGATGCTTTTGTGACTTTTTTCTTTCTGAAATATTTGTTCGTTTGCCCATGTTTCGTTGTTCTGTGATCATAAAATAGAGTAGGAAGCTCGCGTTTGATTTAAGATCGATTCGCGATTGTCTTATTCTTTATTCTATGCAAGGGCCTTCGATCACCACCTTTAACTGCGAATTAAGGGTAGTTTACTATCGTCCCAGATCTTCAGCTGTTGTCTATAAGTTCGTAAGAGAATATCCATCGATATTATCGAAAATGTTGTCATTCAGTACCAAGAACAAATTTTTAAGATGCGATCCGTGTAAGATTTTTACGGACTCGAGGATATCTCCTTTCAGCATATTTGCTTTCTATTAACTTTCCACGCATAGATGTTATGCATTTTTACGCTTGTAGAACTTCTTGTTCAGGTGTCGGCAAATAAGGCGTTGCAAGAAGGTGCGCTCGAATGCAGTTTCAGCGATTGAACGACGGTTGAGCAATCTGGCTTCCAGCGCTCCTTCGTACGTATAGGTAGATAATTAGCTCGTTGAATCAGTCGCTGCCCAGGTAATATCGCTTCCTTGCATTCTGGCTTTACTTGTATGCTGCGTAAAACAGCCTTTTTGAACTTGTCATATGGTCGGTCGACCTCGGCAGAAGTTCCAAAGACCATCTAACCCGTCTTGCAATGCAACACGCTCAAACAGTTCGTCGGAGTGAAGTAGTGGCTATCTCTCGGGGAAATAAAAGGATGTCCATCACAGCTTAGATTAGAAATACTATTTTAGGTGGGGAAATCAAATTACATGCGCATTGCAAGCCATCAAAGTTGTAATACTTAGAGATTATGCATGAAAAACTACTGGGTGTTTGAATTGAAAGTTGACAGCTGCAACCTTTTGTTACCCTAATTTTTACCCACCGTGTACATTGATTACCTCACTTCTGTGTTAGAACATGAATGATTGTTCTGCACTTAGCGTCGATTAGTGACGTGCCGCCTTCTTGCAGATGATAATACATATCCTTTCCTCATTATATTTACCAGATTAGTCCCCCGTCAACCGCCGGGACCTTCCTTTCCTGCGCAAGCTTTCTATCCTCCGCTATGGTCCCTTCCTCCTGTGACACCAACACCTCCTGGAAGTGACGCGTATGCAACACAATGGTGTTTCATACAATCATGATATGACGGTAGATTTTTCGCTTCCCTTCCTCATCCTCCCTTCCTCTCTCCACTGCCCTCCAGCTGCCACTGCAGCACCATGTGGAATGAACGGAAGTGTGCTAAGCAGGTGTTTATATAGCCCTAAGAGTGTTATCACAACTATCCTGCTACAAAACATTTGATATCTCTAATTCGTATCAACAATATTCGGCATGTAAGCGTACCATATGTTGCATTTTCTTTTTTACTCAATGAACTTTCTCTCCTCTCTCAGCTCACTTTTCAAGTTGCGCGCACTACGGACACAGCAGAACATTACATATCATAATTTCGCACGCTATACATACGAATAACAAACCGAACAGACAAAGTTACCGCGGCTTTATGAAGATGGAGATCTTTGGTGTCAAGTACCCGGCTCTGTATGTCGAACGTTTACAAGATAAGCGAACTGTCGGACGGAAGTTTCAAAAGACCATTTACACGTCTTGCAATGCAAACGCTCAAACAGTTCGTCGGAGCTGAAGGTAGTGGCTATCTCTCGAGTGGAAATTAAACGCATTGTCATACAGAGTGAATACTTTAGGCTGGGGAAATCAAATACGGGACTGAAACATCAAAATGAATACATAGATTATGGCATGAAAAACATATGGGGTTTGAATTGGGAAAACTGAAGCTGCAACCTTTGTACCTGTAATTTACCCCACGTGTCAATCCTCACTTTTCTTAGACATGAGATTTGCGGACTAGCGTACGATTAGTGACTTCCCGCTGTCTTGCATCCTTTCCTCATCATCCTTTCATGACTCTGTCACTGATGTGACATGACGTGACGAACTTGTAACTGAGTAAGTCATCGACTTCCTGCAACTCCAGCCGACTTTCTTCCAGCAACGTTTCGTATTTCATTTTTTTCAGCCAACGAGATGTCGAAACCTCGGTATATCCTCTTGTCTAACATTCTTGCGTGGCTTGGACCCTGTCGATCTTGCTCGGCCATTTTCTTCTCGTTCCTTGACGAAGTCATCCTCGAAGTTCTCCTGTACCTGCGCCTTGAGTTGTCTGCACTCCCTATCTTGTAATCTGCGCATGATCTCCTTCTGTTTCGGTAGCTTTTCTCAATTCTTGCTTTGAAGTGTTTTTTGCTCTACTTCATGATCGACTCCTAACAGCTCTTTATGGTCTCCATGTACATATATCATGCTATCCTCTTCTGCCTTCAAACCCCGGCTATTTTAATTCCGGACGCGATTCAATTTTTCAAGGTTTTTCTTGCTTTAGCCCATGAACCGCTGAATTGGTGTGGGAAGGCGCAAATGATTGGGAAATATCGGAACTCAGAATGGTATCTACAACATAGAATACACATGATATTCATGTTGGAAGCGAGTTGTAGCTTTTAGAAATGATGGAATTACGCGGAAGTCAGAGGATGCAAAATCTAATGAGTTTAGGCAGAGCTGAAGGAGGACGAATATGTTGAGTAATAGTAAGAAGACGAATGAAATGAGAAATGTTGTGGTGAGGGACGCTGGTCATGATTTTTTGCTGTGACCACGAAGATGCGATACGAGAATTGCATGTACTTGAGTGGAGGGGGAAGATGATGATGGCAGGACATATGTAGAAGTGCTTGCGAGTGTCTAGGAAAAAAGGAGATATCAGGAACTTCGAAAATGATTTCGATTGATTCTTGGGTTGTAATGAGGAAGAATTCAGTGTTTTGCAGAGAGTTTTCATGCTGTTCACCTAGCTTAAACATCCTTTCTTTTCAACAGTGTGATGTGTTTGTTAAAATCGTCATGTTGGGGATTGAAGTGCCGGCAGAGCTAACCATATGAACTTCGTCTTTATTATAAAACGCTGACAGCATCTGGTTTTTTGGCCGCATGGGACCGAAGCGATTCTGCGAGCGCGATTATCTCACCACCGATTTGGCCTAGCGCCAGTCGCAGAGTCCGCTGGCAAAACTAATGCAACATTTCCAATAATGTTTACCTTGTTGGGAAGACGGCATAAAAAGGTTACCGAAATGACGTGGTATGGCAATGGAAAATCCAATTTGTCTTACAGGTGAAGGGGGCAAAAATACATTTTGCCCATGTCGCACTTCAGTGATTTTTCGTCACAAGGATTGCCGTCGTTGGCGGAATCGTACAGCAAAATATTTTCTCCAATATCCCTCTACAAGTAGACGCGAGCCGTCGCTCGTTCAGCTCAAGGAGACCTACCGTAAATGGTCCAGCCTGAAACTGCTACATAATTTCTTCAATAAGTGGAGAGTTTCCTAGAGACACTAGCTCTAGGTGTGCAAGGCCGCTTTCGACTAGCTCTCCACTAGTTCGTGGAAGTGGAGCTGCGGAAAGGCGGTCATATCTAATCAACATCCAGAGCACAGTCTCTGAGTGTATGATTAGATAGGGATACCAACCCGAGATTCCATACAAAATCGGATACCTGAAAGGCCCTTTCTTCGAGGGCTCGCATGGCAGTCGCAAGAAGGTTTGGTGAAAGTGAAGAGCCAGCAAGGTAGCAGCCATTTTAGCCATAGAATAATATGACAAGGGTAAGCGTACTAGTCGTAGGCCACGGTCTCAGTGAAAGATATGATAAGATATAAGTGCCTTCCCGCAACTCTACTTTGATTAGATATGAGTGTCTTTCCGCAACTCACTTCGATTAGATAGGGTGGTCCCCCGAACTACATTTTCACCCCCTCACAATAATACCTCTACACTCTCACTCTCTGAAGTAATTGTGACCTACCCTTGCTCTACTTATCTATCTATCGATTACTGTCGTTACCGCTCGACCTCTTCGTCAACCTTTGCTGGCCCCGATCAAAATTTCGGAGTGTCGGTAGATCGTTATTGCTGGGTCTCGACATGCATAGCCACCTATCTGACTATTCGACGTCACTACAGGAGCCCCGTAGACCTACACGGGGAAAATCTTTCTGAATTTCCGTCGCCGCGAAACGTGGCCGTCGACGCCATGTGGGATTTGATCAGATTCTTACTGACGCGTTTTGAGGTGCGAAGGTGGTACGACCTCTTCAGTGACAGACCACATACCTCTTCCTAGAGCGGGATTTCTAGAGCCGGAGCGGTGCTATGTTAAAGGCAAAAGTCGGGCTCAATAAGGAGGATTATGGCGATTGAAACTGAGTATAGAGATGCGAAGTGTAACGGCAGTGGAAAAAAACCGCGAAAAACACCCTTTCGACCGACGCCTTAACAAAGGGTGCTAACTTAGTTGGGGGGGGCACGCGGCGGCGCGGCAGTCTGCTCACCTGGGCTCTCTCGAGCGAGACAGTGTAAACTCGAACATTCCAGCTTTTCACGCATGTCAAGTGACTGCCCCCACCCCCAACCCCCTAGGCTGGCTACACTCCCCCTGGCCCACGGATTTCCGAACATGCCAGGCGAGCAGACTGCCGCGCCGCCGCGTGGCCCCCCCCAACTAAGTTAGCACCAAACCTCTTTCCTCAAAAGCAATGAAGGAGGCCGGCTTGGGGAAGAGGCACGTACAAGCAAGTTTTCTGAAGATATCAGTCGTTCTATCGGTTGATACGGCTATCAACCTAGCTGATTTCACACGTTATGCCACATCCCGAGGTGGGCGGTCGTAGCGGGGCTAGGCGGCGATAGCGCATAGTACGTGCCCTGAGGCCTTATTACCGCGTCGTTTGAGATTTTGAGCATGGGAACATCTCTATGGGTGCGTAACCAATTACAGGAATGACCGAAAGGGTTGGTTAGGTTCACTAAGCCCGACCTTTGCCTTTTAATGAAGCTTAGCTCCGATCTTAGCTTTAGAGTTCGTATAAAATGAGCTACTCATTACTATAAAGCTTGGCCACGTAGATTCAAGGTAACACGGGGCGCGCAGGCATTTTCGAACAAAATGAGTAGTAAGACTGTAGGTGAAGAGCACCAGAAAGCCTCTCAGGATTGAAGGACTAAGCTCAGGAAAGGCCCAATCCTAAAGTGATGTGTAAGGAACGATTTCGCCGTTAACCCAAAACAACGCGCTGCGTAACTTGGGCTTTTGGCACAGATTCGCTTCTTTCTCAATGCAAACGTTCCAGGCACTTTATAGAATACGACCTTTTGCTTTGTAATCAAATTTTAAATGATATAATGTATATTCTGATTGCGCTCATGTCCTTAGGGGGGACATTCAGAATAGGGCATTCGAGAACTGCTGGTAGGTGACACTAGGACTAAGCCCAACTGGTAATAAATACAAGAGAGTTGGATGGTTGCTTACAAAATCCTATCCTCTCCCTAAAGCTTAGTCCCAAGTATAGATCAGTGGCCATGTCCCCCGCGTGAGGAACATGAAGGCGTCCTGATATTTCTTTTTAAGTGATCTCTTAATCCTGTTACCGTAATTTGTTGCCATCCCGTATTTTGTCAGCGGCGTGAACATCGCATCCAAGAGATAACATTGGCAATGCAACCCTCTAATGCAGATAACCGTAATCGTATAACTATAATAATTTGCTGACTAACTAATCCCTCGCGAAAAGAAAATCAACGGTATTTTGTGAGCCGTCCGTCACTCAGTTAAGTTGATACTACACTTCAAAAACCATCGATTCGGGAACCTAGTATGGTAGTCCAACTAGTCATCTTGGTATCCAAATGGAGAAATTTTCTAAGATTAATCTTATTCTGTCATAGTTTCGACCATAATGTGACTAATCACGAATGTGCGTAATATAAGCGATGACTTTCTGAGAGCGTCCGTCATCTTCCAATTTTATCGATCCTCGTTTCTTCATGGGTCCCTGAAAAAGAAATCAAAATTTGTATTGATGTCATTACAATGTTTGCTAGCATACCTTTGCTTTGATCACACAGGGTGACGGCAATCCCACATAACTAGTACACTTTTTCTCTTCTATTATATCGGCTTCCACTTCGGATAGTATATCGATAATCTCCATCGACGATCCATCACGATCAGTATCATCATCTCTTCGTGCCCCCAGTTCACGGACAGCAAACTTAATAGGTGTTGAGTGAGCATGAAATCATCAGCAGTTCTCAATCTCAATAGAGTCATCAACTAGAACAGTTTTCAATGCTGTTACCCTGGAGGGTAAGGGCTCATCCCGGCGCAAAGCTCTCAATATCACGCGCAAATATTTCCGTCTTGACACGTGGTTCTGTCCTCTTTTTGGACAATCGAAATGGTTCCTACACCCTAGAGCTCTCTCGCCTGCGGAAAGTAGATCGGTAATGCCCGGGTCGAACTCTTCCTCTCCCCCTAGTATATCACCGCCAAGTTATCTCTGTAGGCTGAAATGCCACAGTGATAGGCTTGCTTGAAATTTGTGGCTGGCTTCTTCTCAAGACATCAGTCTTTCAACCTGACCGGGTCGGTAGGCTGATGTAGGGGTTTCTCAGCGAGAGTCAAAATGGTGGTCATTTGAAATTAAGGTGTATACCATTCACTCATACCGTCTCCTTTTCTGTGAAATGATTAAGCTGGTGTCAGAATCCGCGATTCGTCGCGCGAACTGCAAGAACTGCAAGTGCCCCATTTGAACATTTGACATCACCATCAAGCAGAAATGGCGGCAGTATTGTAGAGCACCTCGCAGTATTGATCGGGCACTTGTGATTTCTGTGACCCGTCGCGCGATTCGCGCGAATCCCGCGACGAATCGCGGACTCTGACACAAGCCTGTAGAGGTGTCATGCTTGTCGAACTAAAGTTGGTTTATGGGACGACTTTAGAAAATGCTCGTTTGCCCATTCTAAGACCCTGCGCAATTTGGAGTAGGAGTTCTAATACAATCGTTGCAGGAGAATGCTAGCTAGCACCAAGTTTATTCTTTCGCAATTTTTTTTCACAAATTCTCACCATTTCTTCTGTAGATGGACGTCTCTGCCCAAAAAATACTGCCTTTTCTTCTTCTATCACCACTGGGGATCCCGAGAACGGCAGACCCCGAGATGGTGTTGTAGCAGGTGATCCAGCGGCTTTATATCCAACCAATTCACGAACAGCGTACAATTCCCCGGTAGGCAGTCGTCGAACCTCTGCTTTCAGTGGAGGAGGCGGGGCTGCTCTTGCTAGAGGACCTAAATGTACAAACGTAAGCACATGGTCGGGATTAAATAGAAACCGTACAGTTCACCTTGAGACTTGCGTATACTGTCACCGGAAGAAAGCCATTGTATCCGACACATTGTAGCATGAACAGTTTCTGTTTGAGTGGTCAGATACAACCGCTTTTTAAAGACTATTGCGAAATACAGGAATTCACTCCTGTATTATCACCATCGCAATAGTCGAACTTTCATTGCTCTAGCGCTTACATTTGGTATCGGTGGTTGTACTTGGTGGCCGTTTGACGCCAAGTTCTGTTTTCTGCTTTGTTTTGTCCTCGTTGTTGAACGCTTTCTTGCGCATCTCTTTTCTTTCATTTTCCTTATCCTGTTCCACCTTCCTCAGCACTTCCAACTAAAAAACTCATATTCTGGCAAGAACAGAATTGATGAGTTAGGGCTTGCAGTGTTCTGAGCAATTTAGTACCTCTCGATCTCTCCAGCGTTGTTCTTGTCCTCCTGGATAGAAATTACCCGGCTTGTCCACTTCTATTGTTGCAATGGCTTCGCTAAATTTCAAGAGAAACTTGGTAAGAGCTGCGGATTCTCGTCAGTCTATTTCATCCTCTGGACCGTTCCTTGATTGAGAATGGATATCGATTACACCAGCGCGAAGTCGGTTAAGCACGCTATTGCGAATTGCGGATCTATGAACGCGGTATGGAGCGTTCATAGCTGGTGATCGAAGGTGCGATTAGGCGAGTAGGCGATAAGGGAAGGATACGTATTGATTTGTTGCTCCGCCCATTGAGCGATCGCCTAATCGCCTATCGCCTACTCGCCTACTCGCCTACAACGCTCTATGGGCGGAGCAAACCAATCAATATGTAGTCTTCCCCGCCTAATCGCCTACTCGCCTGATCACCTGTATCACCTGTATCACCTGTCGTCCCGTTGATCATCGAATTGCTCGAGCGGGCGCCAGCAACGTCTCCATTCGTATCTATATGTTACATTGTAGACTGATGAGCCTATCGCCTAGTCGATGTAGATCACAACTCTGATGCTCCAGTAGAGGGAACAAACACGGTCATGTCTCGGGGGGGGGTGGAAACATTCAGGTGATATGATCTCAGTACATATGCTTGTGACTAAGCGTAGGGAGGGTCAGGAAGGTACTTATCTGTACAAACGTGAATGGTCGTGACAACCAACTCTGATGATGAACGAATTTTTGAATACTGTAGGTCGTGCACTGACACACGGAAGCTTAGAGGGACATCGATAGGGCCAGGAATTGAATTTAGGAGATCTAGGCGTAATGCAATTTATCTTTCTCTAATGAGTTCTATCCTCATCTGTAATAGTCCACGGGCGAACAGTGGAGAGATAGGTCCGAATCTGTCAGACTGCGTGCTTCCCGGGTTCGAATAAAAAAGAGCATACCCGCCCTACTTTGCAAGCGCGGCTTATGCGGTTCAAATGGGTAACCTTTAATGTAAGTGAATGAAAGTAGGCGATCGCGGGTGAAGAGTTGCTTGCATGCAACATCATTTAATGACGAGTCGTACTGAACTCTTTCAGCTCTAATGAAAATCGTATTTGCTCAGAACTAATCGATATCCATTTTTTATATCTTCTGGTGGGGAGACGGTCGTCGTGGAAAGATTGATCTGGCTTACTGCTCATGGGAGGCGACCTTGGCCGTGATCCGTGGTTGAAAAGCTACCGTTATTGATAATCGAACATCTTGTGGATTTTTTACAAATTTTTGTATCGTTTTACATACAACATCTTTTATTAGCTGAAAGTGATTTACTTATGAATATTCCTCAATAACGAGAATTTTTTAGATGACAAGAAATGAAAGACTGTCTCACAAGTGTGTTGTGACATGTAAACTCTCTTTCGAGTATAAATTCCGGAAATAGTGCTTTTCTCCTTATAGTTATCGCCAGAAATTTTAGACGGTCATTAGAGAACGTACATCAGTATGAGCGGTAAGATTAGCACATCATAGTCCTATCTCCACATTTTGTTAGAAATAAAATCCAACCAGCTGTGATTGTCAACCGTAAAAAATTAACCGGTAGGGAGGAGTGACTGTTTATTCGAGTGATCTTGATAGCAGGAAAGAATATCCCTGCTATCACGATCACTCGAGCAAACAAATACTCGCTATGTGCCATTTGCAAAGCAGAACATTAAGGGGAGGTTCCAGTAATATCGTCATAAAAGTGTAGAAGGGAAGCGTTCCAGCAGAGAATGAGCAGGCTCGCCGCTATATGTTGGCATAAAAACAGCGGTTTTGGCTATTGCGTTAATCAAGGTTCATGCAATTTTATCCAGCAAAGAGCATACGCTACACGTGATTGTTCGGACTCTGATAATTTCCAGTGACAGACTTAAAGCCACGAGTCAGGATTAGGTGACCATAGAAGGCCTTTCCATTACTAATATTTCCAGGAATGCGCTCAGAAGGGTGATGCCACACTCCTGACTCGCGATTGCGCGCCGTCAAGGCCTCTGGCCTACTACTTACAGCGATGGGTGTTTCTCGTTTTCATCAGCTAGTCCTGCACCGCGGACTGGTGGCGATGCTGGTCTAACGTGTCGAGTCACTAGGTTAAGATTGCGTATAACCCGACGCAGCCGATACCCGGATAAAACGTCGTTTGAGTGACCTCCCCTGAGACAGAACTCTTCACTGCTAGATGGAAGGTTTGGTTTTGGGTCTGTCGCGGCTTGGCCGTTTTTTTTGCACCGTCGTTCCCACCCACCATCTTACTCGTTAGAGCGCCATAAAGCCCAAAACACGAGCATGATTTTGCCTTTAAATCCAGTCGGTCGGGATTAGAGCGCCATAATCAAGGTGATGAGCAAGGAGCTAGCTACGTCTATCGCCTTTGTGTGCTACCGTGATGCCATCTAGTCAATTGCGACATAGAAGTAGCATTCAAAAATTACAAACACTTTTATTTTTGATCTATCGCGTCCAATAAATTGCCTCTATTCTGCCATTATGAGCAAATTCAAGTGTAGAATAAGATGCTGAAAAACTTTCCCGAGATTGTCATAACTAGGAAAATACAATTTTTTTGAAGAAATTGTGGAAACTTTTCGTTTTATTTTTATAACAATACTGTTCTTCGATATTTGCATGTTTCTGATTTCAATTGATTGCTCAAGTCTATATGGTCATTTTGGTGAACGTCAATGTGAAAGATGGAGGCATGTTTCCTGAGCGGTTTATAGATATCCCCAAGTCGATTTTATTAAAGAAGCTGATTACTCACCATCAGTGTTCCACATCATTGAACTTTCATGATATCTTTCCAGCTTCTCGTAATGAAGCAAGATAATAGTAGAATCGCCTTAACGGAATGAGCAGCCTACCAGACAAGAACGGCGGCTTCTCAGAATACGTGTGTGTTGGCTCGTTCGCCCTCCCCTCTCCAGATCGCCCACAAGATACTTTCTGTTGATTTCATCATTGAATGAGATCTATGGTAGACCTATATTTTCAAGCTGTGCGAATGTTGCGGAAGATGCAACGATGTTTTGTCGGAGCTAGGAGAAAATGGAGGCTCAGCAAGTTCCCACAGGCTGGCCTGGAGCAAAGGCAAGAAGCAAAAGTTGTGCTCTCCTGCGAGTCGAGTCTCACCCTTTTTGGAATAAATTTCTGAGTTTTGTGAAGTATTTTGTGAACAGAAATCCAATTTTCAGGTACTAGATTCCAACAGTCAGAAAGAGTGGAAGGGTGTCATATGTGAGGATGTGTCGACCGATGGGCAATTTTTCAGTTCTCGGTATCCAGCGAGATGTGGTCTGAACTAAATACAAGGATAGTCTAATGTGTATAATGCTTCCCTTCGATAGTCAGAATTTGCTAGAAAAAAAATGTGGGTTTTCGATCAAAACAATGATTCGAGACCTATGTACACCTCCCTATAACCGCCTTATAGACGCAGGACAAGAAAGGGTTATGAAGCGACCAAGCCAAGATTTGGACACTGAGTGGTATCTGAGAGAGAAGCTTGTTGTCGTACACATCCAGATTCCAGTTAAGGATCCACCGACCAATTTGATTCAGTTCACAAAGTGCAAGCTTCGACTGATAGTCCAAAAAAGATGTTCTAGTCACTCAATGTCCACAAAAAGCGACGCTGTCATAGAATTCTACAATTACTAAACAAACTACTAACTTCTCATGTGAATTTGAGAGCATTGTTAATGGCTTTGGAACCGTCGGAGTTTACAACTTTTGAAGCGCAACTTTTTTCAAATTGCGTACTTTTTATCTCAGCGGTATTAGATTTGATGTTGGAGTCCATCAAGGATCAGCCCTTTCACCACTACTTTTCATCCTTTGCATGGACTACGCCACGAGAAACATCCGGAAGGAGCCGCCTCTGACACTGGGCTACGCTGACGATGTGCTGCTTATAGATCGATCAAAGAGAAAGTTAGAAAAACGTGTCAACCGCTGGAAGAAACAACTCGATGATCATGGACTCAAGCTCAACATTAACAAGACGGAATACATGAGCACGGTGGTCACAGAATCGTCAATTGTTGTAGCTGGAACTCCCCTACCAAAGACGGCTAAATTCTCATACCTCGGATCCATGCTCTCTGCGGAAACTGACACGAAAGCCGACACGACTGCCAGAATCAATGCAGCATGGAACAAATGGCGAACGGTCACCTGTATCCTTTGTGACAAGAAAATGCCAATACGCCTAAAGTCCAAAATATACACCTCAGTCGTGAGGCCGGTAGCTGTTTATGGAGCAGAAACGAAACAGATGACAGCTGACGAAGCAAGAGCCTATGGATCCATGGAGATGAAAATGTTGCGATGGTGCCTGGGACACACGCGTCTGGACCGCATTCGGAATGAACACATACGAGACAAAATCAAAGTTCAACCTATCACCAACACCCTTGCTGCCTCACGCCTCCGCTGGTACGGTCATGTCCTACGAAGACCCCCTGATGCTGTGTCCAAGTCGGTAGACAACATAGTGTTCGTCGGTACACGTCCAAGAGGCCGACCCAGAAAGCGATGGCTAGACAACCTGAAATACGACATGAATGCTGCGGACCTGTCTGCAGCCGATGCATGGAACCGGGATCGCTGGAAAACATTGGTGGAAAAAGCGTACCCGACAAGAGTTGGACAACAACGCTAAGAAGAAGAGAGATATTATATTCGGGATGTATACATAAGCATCATAATTTAACGTTTGTTTTATCTTTACAGCATGCCGCAGTTGAGTGGCGTCTGCGCCCTCTCGCGTACGACGTACTCTCTCGCGTTCTCCCTCTCCTCGCAGCGCTGTGTCTCTCCGTCATACTACGGCCGGCCTCTAAGGGAAATTTAGTGTTTCTATGGTGCTTTTTGCTTTTTCTCCTCACTATGTTCCTCATTGCACTTCTTGTCTAATTTCGAACAAAATAACACACTAATTCGATCCCGATCTGTGCCTTAAAAGGAAGAGTTAACCCTTTCCGGACCGCCTGACACCCATGGAGTGTCAGGCCAATTTGCTCCCTGTGGCCGCCTGACACCCATGGGGTGTCAGGGCTGATTTTTCCGAGGATTCGGTTTTTCGACAAAATGTTTTATGTTGTTACATATCTATGTAACATACTCATGTCGTACGTATGAAAAAACCTAGACTTCAATCTCAAACTAGTTCCTAAAATAACCAAAAACTAAATGGACTTCCACTTTGAGCTAAAGAAAACAGTTATAAATCATTTGAAAACACTTCATACAACAGAATTTATGCCATCACGTGCACGTCGTATCTGATGCTATTGCATCCAAACGTTTCGGACACTTTCTGGTCCCTTTTTCCCCATTACAACTTATTTTGAACAATTTTCATTCCTGCCTCCCTTTTTATGGCCCTATCATTTTTTTATACAACAGTTTTCTGTCAAATTCACCACATAGATACCTTTAGACATGACAAATACAAAAACGGGACAAAATAATGGTGTTGATGGAAATACAGGTCAAATATATTATATTTATATTCGCCGCGCAGCACGCGGCGGTGAGCATAAAAAGGCGCCGGCCACACGCGCCCGCCACGGCAAAAGTGCGCGGTCCGGAAAGGGTTAACGATTAGAAGCCAGCTCACTAAAACTGAGCTAGGGGTGGTCAGCGGTGCCGGGATGAAGAAAAATCATGAGAAACAACCCAGAACCCGAGAAATGGGACCCCTTCCTTGTACACTGGTTTGCGCATCAGCACTGACTTTTCAGGGTTGACCAGTATTATAGCTTCAGAACACTCTTTTCAGATGAAAATTTATGAAATCGTGGGCCTAGTTCCCCTGAACCAGATCGCGAAGGTTGCGTGAGCGCGGTACGGCGCCTGTGACCTTTATGCCACCTTTCACTTGTTCTCGTTGGCAACACCCTTCTCCTTTTTTCCTTCAGTGTCGCTCAAACAGTTGTGATTGAAAAGAAGCGTAAACTACTCGAATGGACTGATTATGACCGTATCAATATCACTCAAAGGCTGTTGCACGCCTCGAAGTGGAGTGAGTTTCAGTCATCTTTTGTAATCACCCCTACTCGGCCGCCATGGCGGACTCTACTAAAATGGATGTGGGTTGAAGGCTTCCGCTGCACAGCGAAGTTCTCGTGTATCTTCAGCCTTTGCAGACGTCGTCGCCGTACAACACGCCGTCTAGTGAAACAATGTTAGATGCGAACAGCGAGTATCGCTCTCGAACTACGTGTGAAGAGAGCAGGACCACCCTACGCAAAAGTGGAGTTTACTGTTCGTACTACCTCAATCTGTCGCAAAGCTGCGGCGCTGATAGTAAACCTGGTAAATCTGCCAGAATGTTAGGTCACGTAAGCAAAACTAACAGTAAATGTTTTGGAAGATGTGTCCCATGAGAGTTCAAAGGTTGTCCAATTTCGCTGGAGGTTGTCGCGTAATGCGCGCAGTAGCACGCGGAATGGAAATGTTACTTATCATGACTTCGAAAACATTTAGCATTGATATCGAGCTCGGGCGATTTAGCGGTTTATAGAACTTCCACAATTGAATAATCGGTGTGTAAGTGAAATATAAGCAATCAATCAGCATCTACCGAGCTATGATGGAAATTGGAAATATGATTTTATTCGCTATTAGTCCAGGTCCAGATAGTTGAGCAGCTCAACTTTCTTTGCTTCTTTGGATGAAAGGATAGGAATGGAACATATTCACTTGCTAGGGGCCTGGTTTAGTTTAACTGAGTGCACGCTCAATTTCGCTACTTTTATCAGTACAGTTGCCGCTCATACCACTTTCTGTCACCCACATTCAATCCTCGCCACCTTGTTCCCGTCCCATTCCTTACCACATGTGAAGAGCCAAGGTTTCAATGTCACCGCGAGGGCCGCAACGAAACTGGTGGTATCCACACTTTTACGCCCCTTATCAGTTCTTATCAGTTGCTACCACATTCTTCACTCAACTTCTTGGTCCCCGCCTCACCCCACATATCATACATGAGTGCAAACTCTCCACCATCAACGCGAACGGTGTAACGAAATTGGTGACATCAACATTTCGACGTCCGTTATCAGCTCCTATCAGTAGTTATCACTTCCCGCCACCCACATCAGTGTTCACGCCCGGCCCCCTATATATCCTAGAAGTTTGAGCGCTCTTGGTCCAAAGGGAGTGAAGTTATGAATTTCCGGTCAGACACACACACACAACCGCTTAGCCGATTATATATAGTAGGAATCAGTTCTATCAGTAGTTATCACTTCCCGCCACCCACTATCAGTGTTCACGCCCGGCCCCGTACATATATCCTAGAAGTTTGAGCGCTCTTGGTCCAAAGGGAGCGAAGTTATGAATTTCCGGTCAGACACACACACACACACAACCGCTTAGCCGATTATATATAGTAGGATATGGTAGTATGTCTTATGACTAGTATTTCCGCTGTAGTATTGAGTAATAGGTTAGCGGTCTTCGACCAGTACCCGATCAATAAGCATGTAATTGTTAGACACTATCTAATCTGCGCTCCCTGATTCCTGGATCAAATACTGTATCCTAATCTCCTACTTTACTACTACCCCACTATCTAATATCACAGTCTACGGGTGTCCCCCAAGAGGCCCGTCGCGAGGCGAAGGAAGACGCGGACGCGGCAAAGGACGAATCGCATACTAGGCTGCGACTCCTTCCTTTGCCGCGCGTCTGCGTCTCTTCCTTCGCCGCAGGACGCCTTTTGGGAGCACACCCATAGTTGACTATGTCCTGCGATTCCATTCTTAGGTTCAGGTGAGGATCTTTGGTCAGCGCGGGAGGTTTTAGTCGGAGTGACTTCTTCCACTATCCGTAACGTTATGCTATGCGCGAGGTTCTGCCTGTGACGAACGCGAGATATACGCCGCGTAAATTGCTCATTAGGGAAGCTCGGAGGAGAGGGGGGATGTCTGGGGTGCAGGAGTGCGAGGCACCAGCAGAGTTGAGCAGCGGGGCCTTGACGAGAGAGATGGGTGTGAGAGGGTTTCCTTGGGCGGAGGACGTTGGAGGGCAGGCAGGGGGTAGCTCTTGGAGCGTGATGCGAGAAGCTGGGGGAGGGCGTGGTGGGGATGGAGTTGTTGTTTGACTTGTATACTTTCCTGCACCCCGGAGTACCCTGCAAGCCATTTAGGTAAATGCACAGAGTGATAAAACATGATGTACAGCAATAAGGAAACTATGGGAATGCGTTGATTTGCCACACGTGACATCCGATGTGCAAAATCGACAATAATTGGGAGCGGCTTATCCGCGCGCTTCTAGTAGTGTTTAGCGCCGCCACGTCAAGTCCGTAGACCTCGGCATATTCAGGAAGGGTTCAGATAGTAACTGTAAGTGGGGGGGTGGGGACGAATATATGGCCACGGATCGCACGTTCCTGGATGAAGGAGAGACTGAAACAAGTATGCATGAGCCAGGTATTGTGTATTCGTGTAGCGCGCTGCAAGCTGAAAGTTTACTCGTCGCAACGCTCTAGTTTTAACATCTCACGGGGTGGGGGCGGGGGGTGATGGGGGGCTCATGATTCAACGTCTGCCGCGCGGACCGCAGCAGTGCCATATTTGCGCTTTACTGCGAAAACGACCGTAACGATAAATAAGTAATAAATCTGTATAGGGTTGAGGATACCATTCTGACTAGATCGTGAGTATGTGATAAGACCTACATTACGGCCGTGCTGCTTTTCGAGAACCAGATGCACGTCGAGAGCAGACTACACCACAAGTGAGGACGGCTCACAAGTAAAGCTGGTAACTAGTGATAGTAAGCGAGCGAGCGCCGTGAAAGCTGCTGATTACTCTTGCGTACAGAAATTGATTCGCTAAGTTTTATCCTTGAAGCGTCAATACAGATTATCGTCACGATGTGGCGGATATCGACAGTACAACTCCAAATACATCAAATAGTAAGAAGCGAACAACAGATTCGGCGGGACAGGTGAGGGCATCTGGGTAAGGAGACAAGGGGGGAGAAGAAGAAGCAAGTCATCTGAGCAGCTCTGGGCATTGAGGGCGTATCGCCTGCTGAATATGGAGAAAAGGGAAAGTCAGAGATAAAGCGAACTGGTCTATGGCCAATAGGTAAATGAACGTACTGAGCACTTAAGCCAAGTCGATCCTACACCTTCTCATTTCTCCAAGTCGCATGTCCGCGGACTTGAACACGCTAATGTAGGATCTTTCTGGAGCAATGACCTTAGCTTGCAAATCACGCGGTATTTCCTGGTAATGATGCAATCTGCACCCTAGAAGTTCCGCATTCAATACTGTCGCAAAAATTTTGCTTAGAAATGTATTGCTGAGCAAGGCCGATTGTTGGTGGTAACAGACATGAGATCGATGACTGCATCTTACTGTAGTCGGCTAGAAGTTTGCTTGTTTTGGAAGGGAAAGTAGTTTGGGCTTGAAGTCAAAGAGAGTAAGTTACTCTTGATTTATAGATTGCTACACCTTCCGCTATGAGCTTAGAACTTCTGGTCTGGTCAGAGTGTGGCCTTTTTCGAGAGTTGCTGTGTCACAAAGGTTACGAGTATGATCTCATCCTTTCTGGCTCAAGATGAAGACTAAATTCAGGTCACTACATGGCGACCTGATTTGGGTCTATTTAACAGAAGCCGACGAAAAGAACATTTTAGGCTTAGTCCTTTGTTCAGGAACGCCAGTGGTATCCTCTCGTTAGTTCGTATACAGCGAACGGCCGGATGAAGCGAACTTGTAACTCGTCAACAGCTAACTAAAGGAATCATATTCGTTGATACCAACAGCCAGCATCACAGTAACATTCGTAGACTCATGCCTCTAAAAGCGGTTGCGTGATACCTGAGGACCTTGACGTGCTTGCCTTTAGCAGCCAACTTTCCATTCAAACCGAGAAGATTGTGCAACTCACCAGTACATGCACAACTGAAGCATTCGAGGCATTCTATCTGAAAAGGCAACTGCTTGATAATCAGAAAACGTGTAAGCCTTATCGTTAGTGTGCGGATGAAAATTAAACGACAGCTTCATATCAATAACAAAATCAATGCAGTGCCTGAGAACAAAGCCCATTGATGAATTATCTATGTCTGGGCCACCCGACCATGCAACTACCTGTCCTCATCGCCTCTCTTACGAACAATATACCACCCATCTGGTTGTCACAAAGCGAAACATCTAACAACAAAACAAAAAGACATCTAGCAACGAACTTTTGCGATCGAGAACGTATCAACACATACAAACAGACAGAACTGCGTTACTAACTACGAACTCCGTTTACGAACCAGAGCTTCACAATACAGGGTGGAGCATAAATGTGGTGACAAAGTAGTTATGGTCCAGTCTGAACCAAGGCCGAAACGGAATACCAGGTACAGTAACATATGACCATATTCTTCCGAACAATTCCTAACATTTCTTATTAAAATGGTTGCCTATGAACTTGGCAATCTTCTCAAAATGCATCTACAAAAATTGACCCTTGCCCACATGACATCCTTCAAAATTTCGTAGCATACTTTTTGTAGAGCAGCCGTTAAGGATCCATTCAGACTGTCCTGTTTCGCGCACTTCTTCAGCATCAAAACTAGCCATAACAAACAATGTGCTACATACAACTCGGAGGTTTTGGCTGGCCAATCCTTGTGCAGTTCAAAGTTGGACAAATGGGCTCTGCAGCAAACTCTCACAAATTTAGTCCATGAGCCGGCATACCGCCTTGGTAGTGTATTTATCATGTCGGTATGAGTAGTGAAAGAGACGAGACCTCTTCAAGATACTATTTAGGATAGTTTGCCTTGAGATTTTACTCCCACACGGGCGAAAACCAACTGAGATGAAGAAATCGCGGTACTCAGGTTCACTTCATCGCTGAGCTAGGAGGTTGTGTTGATTTCCGCTGTTCCTGCTCTGCTAGTTCTTCAGAACCCCTAGTGATCAATTCTGAATTTCCGAATGAAGGCAATCATCTGAGGAAAATATAATAGTTTTACTCGTCGGTATACACTCGGAGTCCCTTCGCGGTTTTCGCCCCAGGCCGTCGATAATTTCATCTCTGTTCTTTCTTCCCCCATCTCAGAAGTCGAGTCGTCTATGGTAATCATAAGCTTGTATTCATGCTTTCTTTGCAGAGCTCTTCGCACCATTTATCCTGATAATGTCGAAACTGTAGCCAATTTTATAGTGGTCCTCACCATATCGTGGTGGATACGCTGCTTTACGATATTCTTAACTCCCTTTTGGATTCCGTAACTGATCGACCTCTATGAGAAAGACCATTATGTGTACTGCAATAGAGACGTACGACGGTCTGGTGACGCATCCTTCGGATACGGCAGATCTCGGAGACAATTCACCCAGCAGCGCTTAACGCTAGAAATTCCAGTAGTTTCATATTAGTTGGGGCCATTCACCAAATTAGGATCGCGAATTCACGAAACCATAGAATATATAACACAAGACAATAGCGAACCTAGAAGAGTAGATATAATCTCTGCTCACTGCAATAAATGCATTTGCTGTGGTCCAGTCTTGTCACCATATTTATGCCCCACCTGCGCACTTCCAAGCCGCACCACGGCATGTCTGTGATACTTGTGAGCTACTCTATCCCACCCACTGAATAGATTCTTCGACACGACCTCTTTTGTTGGTGTTTCTTCAAAGTATCAATACAAATCATAGGATTGGCGATCAAATACATGTCAAATACATCGAAAAGTAAGAAACGAATAACATTTGCGAAGATGAGGCACACTGCTGCCAGATGTCTCTTTCGATCTTGTCTTCTAGCCTTGAAAATGAGTCAGATAAAAGAAAGAACTTACTGGGCACTAGCAAAACGCGATGCATGAGGATAGCTGATGGTTGGCAAGTGATAGTAGTAATTAGTGACAACTGGTAGAATAAACTGCAACCGGCTAATCATTTCACTGGCAAAAAAGTAAAGCCGTCATCACTTATATA